GGGGAGAGAGGAAAAAAAAAAAAAGGGGGGGGGGGGGGGGGGTGTGGATCGAGACGCCCTCAAGACGGGTATTGGCCACAATCTGATACCTAAGGATGGAGAAATGAGGAGACCTGTCTGTGTGTGGCTACATGCGCAGGTTACGTTCCCAGCTCCAGGCACAGTGGACTGGGGACTTATGCAGGTCTTTCCACTCATTTTCACCGAGTGCAAAACTGGGCCTCAACACCTTCATAAAAACCTAACAGCTCCTGATGACAGCCTATGCATCCTCACGAAATTGCAAAAGCAGGAAGACCAAGTGTTTCAAGAGTCCTATAAAACAGCCTCTGCTGTAAGACGGGGAAGATGTAACACGACAAGACTGGAGTGCCCATTAAATGCCAGGTCCTGCGCCAAGCGCTTCGCAGGCGTTGGCTGAGCCAGGAAACCCCGCTCCGCCAAGCAACTTGCCTAAGACAATGCAGCAATTCAGCCAGGAGTTCAAACCTGGTGTCTAATTCTACAGGGAACCTAAACTCATCACCTCTGTTCAAGGATGTTCTCCCAAAAGTCTAGATACAGGGAAGAAAAACGCAGTCACTACTAACTCACGGTACTTAGTGCCCGTGGTTTTGATGTGGATTTAAGCAGCGTCCCCCCCCCCCCCCCCCCCCCAAAACCAATGGCACAGAACCATACCTGGTGTAGCCACTGCCGTGGAAGTCGGTGCTGTTTAAACTCCTGATGACAGTTTGCTGTGTGGAAGACAAAACCAATGAACAAAACGAACGTTTTTGCAACCCCTCTCTCCCCTGGAAAGTCTCCGAGTACTGGGAATAAAGTAAAAATGGGAGATGCTCAATACTGAGCACTGAAAGTGACTGAGAGAAGAAAAAGGATTACAGAACAGCAGATAAGCCAACGGCAGGGAAGCGCGCGGGGCGAGGGAGGGGCCCTGCGGACACCGTGCCTGAACTCTCCACGTACAATGCAGACCTTAACACAGACAAGAAGTACAATAAACAGGTCAACAGGCACACCCCAAGTCAAATCAGAGAAACCAACGGCCATGCTGCACATCCCCATATGTCCGGGAGAAATGTCTGATGCATGAAACCCATCCTAATCGTTAAGAAACAACGAGGAAGGCTGAGAACATGAAAGGCGCGGTTTCAGCGCGCTCTTAGCTGCGATTAACGCGTATCGTCATTTCTACGAGGCACTTCAAAGGAGGGACCGCAGACCCCCACTCACCGCCACATTTCCACAAGTTTGAAAGGCGGTGAACATAAACATAAAGGCAACTCCTAAAACGACGATGTTGAAAAGCTTTTTAGATTCCGGGGACATTTTGGCTCCACCCTGCCAGAGGTCCGCCGCGGCAGCGGCCACAGGGCAGTCAGCTGTCCTCGGGGTGAACCCACTGCCACGCCTGGGGGACGAAGAGGCGGTGAGAGGAGGCAGGTCCGGAGCAAGGCAGCCAGGCGGTCCCCTTCCAGTTCGCGCATCCGAGTCCCGGGCGTAGGGTGAAGCTCTCCCCCCGGGCACCGTTAGGACATTCCTAGGGCGCGACGCGAGGAGGGAAGAGCCCAACACCCGGCGAAGCGCCAAGAAGGCTGTCGCCCCGGGTGGAGGGGCCCGCCGGGGGATTAGGAGCCAAGGACTAGCAGCAGAGCCGGCTCGGCCCCGCCCGCCCGCCGGGCCC